GCTCATCTTCGAACTCGATCTGTCTTTTTATGATACAAAACGACCCTGAAAATCCCAGGTCGCTATCTCAATTCTTTCTCGAGTTATCGTGCGGACAGACAGACAGACAAACAGACAGACAAACAGAATGAAACTTTTCTGGTCAGTGGAGTAATGGGCTTCGCTAATCGCTCAGCCAATAAGTATGATTTTGATAGAAATAATTGTTTTGCTACGTGTTTTGTTCTTTTGTCCATCAGGTACTTACAAAACCTTGTGGATTATCTGCATCAGTAGTGCACGGGTACTCCTTGATAAATTCCCTACTAATGATGTCATATTGTAGTATTATAGGCACTAAATCAGTAGTTCAAGTAATGCTGTCATTCTCATGACTGGCCGCCTCGAGTCAGTCTAGCCTCGTACAAGTCCTTCGCAGTGTTGTCCTTAAGGTGCTCCCACAATGCGGGCATCACTGGGCATCAACGGCATCGTTTGAGACATATCTGGCGTTGGAGGCAATGGCATGATGTGTGCATATCGCTCGAATCGGCGTAAAACAGTTCGAGCAAGAATATGAGAGGGAATTTTTACACTCAAACTGCCGTGTCGGCTGCTACTCGCTGCTCGCCGGCCGGCATCGTCTGCTACGGCAAGGGTCAGCCGTCCGGCCGCACCGGCCGCCAGGCCGCGCTCGACGGCGACCGAGCCGAGCTCGGGCGCACCGGCGCTGGAGACTGACACTCTTCGACATACCACCATACCGCAAACACCCACCTTCCCAAACCCTCTGCTCAGCCCGGCGTGCTCTGCCACGGACTGAGCCCGATCCGTCACAGGCCGGTCTCACCACTGTGTACGGTACTACGCGAATTAGTATAAGTGTAGGCTATAATGGTAAAGTATGTGTGTACCCGGTGCTATCAATAAATAGTGTTCTCCCAACCGTGTTTCCCTCATTCTTCCCCACATATCACAAACACTCTATTTATTAAAGTTTCCTTCATAAAGGAGCGGCGGAGCGAGCCCAGAAAGTAGTCCCACATCCAACCGCACCGGGCGGGCGATCTGGTGCCCTTTTGGCTCGTGTCAGCCGTCATCAAATAAACAAATATACTCGAACAAATATTCTTTTGAAATTAGGAACAAAATACAAGCAATATTCACCCCACAGCTCGGCTGTAGTAGCCCGATACGGGAACTGCGCGGACGTAATTCTCCTGTCACCCGACAGATGGCTCTGTCCGCGTCCGCATAGGAGCGCCAGTTCAAATTGTCAGCTGTTGTAAATGTGTGTGGTGTGTATCTAAAATCATAACGGTCAACCGCCAAACGGCTCAACGAAAACGAAACGGCAACGGCAAGCGCAAGCTGTTGAGTGTTGATCGTTAACAGTGATTTGAAGGTAAGTGGTGAATTATTCATTCAATCATTTTGACGTCGGCCCCATGGGGGGGTTGATCGAAAGGATGAGATTCGCAAGAAACCAAAGGTATTTCCTCAAATGTCAGATTTTAAAAATAGGTTCATTGATTATTCAAAGATTTGTGTTCCCTTTGTTAACTTTGTCATGAACTCAAATGAAACTTCCATATTTTTTGTATAGGCCGTTAAAATCGAAAAGAAAAACAAAGCAATAGGATTCAAGAAAGCCCCCCAAAAGCCTCCAAAACAAGCCTTGCGATATTTTATTGATGTAAGTGGATTAAGGGATTATTTTGAAGGATGAAAACAAACAATTGGTTTAGAGACTAGATGGTTTATTATGAAAACTTAAAAGTTGAATACAAGAAATAGAGTTAATTTGTTTGTTGAGTCTTGTCAGAATAAAAACTCTTTCCATTGTAACTACAGGGTGGGTGATCCGCGCCGTGTTTTTTTTCTGCTTATGCTGTACCGGATTCATGCGTGCGGGCGGGCTTGCCTATCGTCGCTCGCCATGGCGCCTTATAGCCCCGTGCGAGTATGCAACACGTCCGCACGCATGAATACGGTACAGTATAAGCAGAAAAAAACCACGGCGCGGATCACCCACCCTGTATAGTGCTTTGTTTGTGATAAGAGAGGACAAATGCAATTGAAATGGCAATGGAAGCATTACCATTTCACATTCATTTGATGATTTGTCCCTGTTATCTGGTGTACTTTTATATTACTGTACAATAGCCATTTAATTACCGATGACACTGTTATCGGCAATAAATTGGCCATGACTCCGTTATTGCCAATAAATTGGCGATGACTTCGCTACTGCCACTGAATTGGCGATGACTCTGTTATTGCCAATGAACTGGTGATGTTGCCCTGCTACCCTATTTCTTTCAATTTCTTGAGGCTGGCCTCTATTCCATCGCCAAAAATTTTGGCGGTGAACTCATTTCCAGTACTGAGGCGATTACATTTTCATCGCCTCACTGGAGACGTTATTTTTGTCTCATCGCCAAATTTGTCCCATCGCCACATTTTTGGTCATGGTTTCATCGCCAAATGAGATACAGTGCACGCTTGGATGTTGGTTCGCTCCTTGCAGCAGCAGGCGCCTCCAGGCTCCGAGTTCTCTTCCGGCTCGCTCGATTTTCGGGCTGCTTGCGCCCACCCGCTTGAAGCATCAATTTTGCCTCGCTGTCTTCATTTACCACGGCGATCGATTGGAGCAACTCTGCCAGTAACATGGGGACCGCACTTTGACTTCTTTGGGACCCTGGCGCCGGGTGCCCTTGCCCTCTGCCCCGGGCAGAGGTGTCACGTAGGTTCTCTTGCTTACGTGGCTTACTTGCTCTTGCTCTGCTAAGCGCTTCTGAAGGCAGTGGTAACAAATCGTTTCGCCGTCCTTCGGCGGCCTCTGGGTGGGGCCTCGACACGTATCACACCTGTACGACCCGCCACTCTTGGCCTGTGGCTTCCTTCGCGGCGGCGGTGGTGGCGGTGGTCCTTATCCCGCTGGACACGATCAACGACTTGATCTGCTTGCTCGCCATCCTTGAAGTGTTGCGGTGGTGATGCGATGTGGTGTGCTCTCCTCGGCTAACTACTCCTGGCCGAGACGCGCCGCGTGCCGCGCGCCGCTGCAGGCGCGTCCTTGAGCCGCGACGAGCAGCGGCAGCCAATCAGAGGCCTCGCAGCCGTCGTGACGGGGGGAGGGGGTAGTTCTCCAGTCGCTCGCTCGCTCGGCCCAGCCTTCAGCCTTCCAGCACTGCTGCGACAGCCAACCGTCACCGACTCTAGCAGAGGGCGCTGAACGCTATTTTCTTTCTCTCTCTAATTCACCTCCGGAGTGGCCAACATAACAAAACGAAATTCTGCTGCAACTGGGGTAGGGACATTTCGTGTCTAGGGACACCCTGCAGGTGAATTACTTCTGCTATTTTCTTTCTGTTCGGGGTGCGGGGAAAAGGTGTGGGGTAACATAACCAAACAACAACAAACCAAATGGAAGTTCAACTGATTGTTTATTTTTATAAAAGTAAAAGGTAATGATTATACTGTAAAAGCAGTTTAGATATTTTCTTCCCAAAAGGAAGTAATTACATCACAAATAATTACAAGACAAATAAGGTTTACTAAGGTTCTTAAAAACTAGAATTTCTTCAAATCTTTAAATGTGACTGACGGGCATAGGAAAATGCAGATCACGAAATTGTGACAGAAATTAGAAGTACCATCATGACAATCCAGTTATTTGTTACTAAAATGTGCAATACAGAAAATGATTGCATCTTAATGAATAGCATTGTACTCAATGAAATTTGTATGAAGCACATCTCACAAACTATGATGAGTTATTATTGAAAGAAGGTATGGTGCACATTAGAAATAACATCGGAAACTAAACTTATAGGCTACCAACATGTGTTCAAGAGAAAAGATAGCCCATCACCGATCGAAAGAGCAAAGAATTGCTCTAGTGGTAACAAGTAAAGAAAGCTGTTTTAAACAATCAAAGTTTTGGTAAAATTTATCACTTTGTAACAGAAGGAAAGGTTAGTATGAATTTACATAACTGTCATAGTGTCTTCCCCATAGAACTCACATTTGACAATCGTAATACTTAGGGAACTATATAACAAATTTGTTCATACAAAATCTGTATTTTTTTACAAAGCGCGTTCCAAGACAAATGAAGTACTAAATAAGCAGGTGCATGGTATAAGGGCAAAACTGGTTATTCTGACAAATTCGCCACCAATATCATGGTTTAAAACATAGAATAGGCACAAAAAGTAGACCTGCCTATTTTGGCTAAAGGAACAAACTACATTTGGTCTTCCATTGAATATCAATTTCTGGAAGAAAAGTGATTTTGATTGATTGATTGGACCGAAGGGATTTTGATAACAATTGGAGTGTTCATTTAAATGGTCATTTGAAGATAGACTATTCATCGTGGTGGACATGGAAATAGCATACAGAACCAAACCTTTAGGCTATCTGAATGTGCACAGGAAAAAGATAGAACATCACAATGAGAAAGAGTGAGACAAAAATGCTTTTAAAAGCAAGCAAGAAAGTTTGGAGAGCTTAGTAAGAGACAGAATCTTTGATCTCAAAGTAAATTAAAGATTGATTAAATAATTGTGATGTACTGTCTTTTCTTTCAAAATACATTTTACATTTCTATTGCTTGGAAAATATATGAAATTAAAGCAATTTCTGTACATGTGCACACATTAAAACAGTCTAAAAATACAAAGTTAATTAGGTTGTTAGTTTTTGTTACAATGACAAACTTTCCATTAGTATCTTCATAAGAAACATGAAATATGAAACAGTTAAATAAGCACAGACTGCTTGAAGACAGGAACCAAATACATGCTGGTATTTGGTGTATTAATCAATGACACTCTTGTCTTGATGAAACAAAAAAGGGAAGGGTGAGTTTGTCATGTCAAACATAAAAAACACATCCAGAGATCTACAAGGACAAAACGTACAATCAAAGCATAGAAAGCATTGAATGCATATTTCAGTTTTGGAAGAAAGTATTTGTTACAAACACGTTGTGAAGACACTGAAATAACTCATGTGCCCTTATCTGAAAAAAACTTTCCAGTATGCTTGAACGTAACCAAAATATGTTTCGTAGGACACGAAATTCTCACCCTTAAGAGTGGACATAAAATAATCTACCTATTTTCTTACATAAAATAATCTACATATTTTCTTACATAAAATAATCTACATATTTTCTTACTTAAAATAATCTACATATTTTCTTACATAAAATAATCTACATATTTTCTAACATAAGTCTTAATTGCAAATTTGCCACTGTATCATAACAATAAAGGAGTACAAAATATGGAGAGGAAACAAATAAAAAAGGTAAATATTTTCTGGAACCAATAATGACAACTAAACTGTTCCTTTAATGAAGGCACAATCCTAAGGTCTTGTGCTCAATACATAATACTTGTTAATCAAAAACGGAAATCAAAAGTAGTATAGATGTTTCACTTCTCCCTTTTTTTTTAACGGGAAAGTGAAAAACCTCAAAGCTGGCACTAGTCAAAAGAGAGCCACAATGTTCAAAGCGCAGTATTGACGGTTTTTTTTTACTGCGCAGGGCCTCGCCGCGATTGGGTACACCTCTCTCGTTAAAGTTGTGTCCGCCCCCACTTCAAATGCCTTCCCAAATGCCTTGTTCTGAAACCTATCCTACATGTCCGCTAGTGTCCGGGATATAGCGAGTGATCAACCATCGACAAACTCTAGAAAAGCCCTGTTGCGTGTTGATTGTTCGTCCCCGGTTGTCCACTGTCATCCCTCTGGTTGTGTTATAAACATAACACCCTTATCCCTTGCTTCGCGCCGGGCCATGGGGCCAGCCGACCCCCACCTGAGCCTCTTGAGCCAAGCTGCGTTGAGCCTTGCGCAGCGCGCCCCAACTCCTGCACGCAGAAATTACGAATCCAGCAAAATTTGAATGGTGATTCTAGTATAATTTGATGATTTTCGTTGTTTTTCATTTTATCCACAGCTTTCCGTAACATGAAAAAGCGCTACTGGGTAAGGTGAAAGTATCCCGCTTTCATTAAGGTTGCCGTTGCCGGATATTGCCGATTAACATGCCGGTTTTGATAAGAAGATTTTCAGTCTTATTTTGATGCCTTTACTGAATTTAAAGATATTTAAAGATAATTTAAGATAGAAGGCTAAGCGCCTGCATAATTTGAGTTTGCTTTTGGAGCTGGACTGTCTCGGCAGGCCAGTTTTTTAAAATTTCCCTGCGTTTTACGAGCAAACAGAACAGCATCTATCATTACGCGAGCCAAGCGAGCGCCTAAATTAATACCCTGGTGGGACGTCAAAATGTCCCTTCGACCTAGACAGCGTGCAGGGCCTCGCCACGATTATTATGTACACCCGTCTCGTTAAAGTTGTGTCGGTCCACGCGTTAAATGCCTCTCTGTGTTTTGAGTATCTTTTTATCGTCTTTGATCCCTTATTAGAGTTGAAGATACAAGGTATTTGCCTTTGCCCGATTTTTAGAAAAGATCCAGTTAGCGTTTTTTTGGAGCGTTCGGGCGTTGAGCGTTGTTGTGAGGCGTTGGGCGTTTTTGAAAAGCGTTCAGGCGTTTTTCATGCGTGTTGCGAAGCGTTATTGTGCGAGATATGATGCGAGATAAGATGCGATGGGAGAAGATATGTAAGATTTGAGATGAAATGAACGAGCGAGCGGCTACACCCTCAACTGATCTCAAACCTGACGTTCTCATACTTCACGTGATAAATAGCTCAAATATTTCTTTAGAAGGACATTTGTCCATAGATTACCGATAAAGTTCGTAGTTTTAAGAATTCCA